ATTTTATCCTGGAAGAAGGAAAAAACCATCCTACAAGGTGTGGATTATATAGACAGCAAATTTTATTTCCCCTTAATGCCTCAGAAATCTGGAACCACAACTGACTTCTTGATGAGAGATTTATTCCAACTTAGTCAAAACCATACAGACTCTGGACAACAAGCATATACGATTATCAGCCCAATGATGCAAAGACCAAGAATCTTTGTTCCTTTTCTATGTATCTGTCAAATTATCTACAGACATACACTCAGACTCACAGTAGATGGCAATAATAAAGACTTCAGGCTGGGGATTTAGCTCAGTGCTTTCATCGCCTGCTGTGCAAGCGCAAGGACCTGAGTTTGATCCCCATACCAAAAATAAATAAATAAATAAATAAATAAATAAATAAATAAAAAGACTTCAATAAGCTCTGGATACCTAGTAGCTTCCACTACTAAACAAATGGAGCAAAAACTATTTTTGAGGGGTGCAGTCTCAAAATTATAAACAAGTGCAGAGACATTTTAATATATTCTTTTTAAAAACATTTTAATATATTCTAAAACTCAAGTTAATATGGAATGTAGGAAAAAATAAGCATAATCCCACTTTGGAAATTTATAGATAGATTTCTCTATAGAAGAATTGATTTTGGTTCTAGTGAATGCACAGGAACACAGGCAGTGTGGTACACAGTTTTAGGTGGTATCACGAGAAGACTTCCTGGAAAGGAAAAGACAAGTTAACTAGAGTAAAGGAAAATTCTAGACATAGGGCATCATAAGAACAATGCATCAGGGTGAAAAAGAGTATGATATATAGCATAATGATGAATAGAAAAGCATTACTGCTGGATAAAATATCCAGAGACATGGCTAGAAAGGACAATAGCCAGATCAAAGACAGCATGCATGCATTATTAAAAATTCATCTTTGATACTGCTGGTATCAGATTCAATGAAAAGGTTTACATTGAGGAACAGCATAGTCATTTTGGGGTTTTAGGCTCATCAATCACACAACCAATAAGAATCTAAGAGCTATGAAGCTTTAGGAAAGAAAAGCTGAAAGATGATATAGTAAAGTAATGGCAAACTCTTTAGAGCTTTCAATGATAACAAACAGCCAGCTGCAGCACATGTGTGATGGGTTCGCCACCAGTGCTTTAGTACATTGCAAATAAATAGGTTGTGAATTACACCAATGAGTTGCACCACAAAGAGGAAGACCGTACGTGTCATATATTTTAAGCACCAAAAAAAAAAAGCAAGATTTGGTAATTAGTGACTTTCTAATTAGTCGAAGTTAGAGAACAAAAATCAAGGGCTGCCAACACCAGAAGAAAACTCTTGGATGGAACTGATTTAAAGATGATGAATTATACTTGGGATCTCTAAGTGCTTTAAGACATTTACACACAGATACTCAGCAAATTGTTGTCTTAAAAATTCTAGAGATAGAAACTTGGGATACATTAGTACTTAAACTGTAAAGGTAAAAGCAGGTAAAGGATTGTGCAGATAGCCCAAGAAAAACACTATAAAAAAGAAAAAAAAACCTGAAAGAACAAAAAGGAGTGGCCAGAGAAATTTGAGGAAAATTAAGAGTGTTATGTCATAAAGATGAAAGAGAATTTCAAAGAAGAAATTATTGTCATGATCAAATATAAAACATAGCTCTAAGAGATGACTCTAAAAAATGGCCACAGGATCTGATGTTCTAGGTGACACTGGTTATTAAGCAAGATCTCATTCCATGACAAGCAAAACAAACTGTTGAAGAACAGAAGATGGAGGGGTGTCTGAGAAATAAAATGGAGATAAGACACATCACTATTCCTTCAAAAGACTGCACAATGATTCCTAAGAAATGCTAGGGTCTAGGGAAGGTCAGGAAAATGAGGCTATTTATAGTCCTTCACCACAGAACTTAAAGTTCTGTCACTAATTCCAGGACAAAAGTCTGGTATAGAGACAAAAGATAAATAATGAATACAGAATCCCATGAACTTAAAAAGATTATCAAATTAAGCCATGCTATGGGATTTATCTCTAATAAGAAAATAAGAACAATGAAAACTTAAAGGGATAAGGCCTTAGCTCTGCCACTTAGTACCTTTATGGCTTGGGGCAAGTTACTTCTTTTCCTCTCTGTTTCCCCATCTATAAAACTGTATTTGTCTTTAGGTTTTATGAGAAGATAATGTATGAAAAATTCTTAGCACAGTACTAGCTTAGAATAGACCTCGCTTATCTTCATTGAGGATATCAGACAAAAATTATAAAATGCTTAAAGAACTTCTTTTTTTGCAATGCCAGGGATCAAACCCAGGGCCTATAACAAACCAGGAAAGGGCTCTACCTCTGAACTACATCTCCAGCACTGGAACTTCACTTTTTAAAAGGCATGGATAGCTGTGCATTTATGGTAAGTCCTCATCATATCCTGATTTACAGGTTCTTTTTTAGCTTTAATAAATAGTTCCATGGGGGGGGGGCTATAGATAAACATATTACACTACATATATGTATCTTACAAGTCAGTAGAAGGGAAAATAAGTACTTAACTATTATTTCAAATTGGAAAAAATTGCCCTGAGATATACACCTCTCATTAATTTCTGTAACAAACTCCACACTACAGAGACTTGTTCATCTTTGTGTCAAAAATGAATTAAACATAACTTGGAATAGTAATAAGAGCTGTAATGTTGTCTCGCTTTTTAATTTACACATGCAGCAGTCTTTAATGATACAGTATATAACTCTCTCAGCCATTCTAAAGAGACAAAAAGATTCAATTATTTCCCAGATCTATAAGCAGTTAGATATTTCCCTTATATATCAGAATTTCATTACTGCTGGAACAGATAAAAAACCAGCATACAGTAAAGATCTTATGATCGATAATCAACATGCCCAAGAATCTGAGAGAAATGCATAAAAATACATGAAATTTCATAATATATAGCCTCATTACTGCTAAGACGACTGCTGTCACTTTTAAACAAAACAACAAACCTTCCTTTTAATAAAACAAGGAGTAAAAACATCAATAAAGCTCTGTGTTAAAATAAGGAAAATACTGTACAGATCTGATGTGACTAAGATGTGAGCAAATGACTTGCATTGATAATTTAAGAAAACATCAAATATTGCTTCCTGGTAGTTACAGTAAATGCACATGGTGGTCAAATTTACATACAGAAATTTTACACATAAATCTTGAATTCAGGGGCACAGTTGACAGCAAAAGTCCTTAAGACTTTTTTCACAAATATGTCTACTCAGCAAAAATATTTCTCTTGAAAAGATTAACCCAACTGCAAATGAATATACAGTTAATTATCCTCACTGCACATCTTCATTGTCATTTTTCTCTCTGTCCTCTACACTTCAAGTACAATAGTTACCTGATTTCCAAAAGCGCCAGGAAACACAGACCTGAGATTTATGTCTGAAAATATCAGATAAATAGTAAGCAATTAAAACTAGCTTGGTAGTTTGAATTTTACAGTTTAAAAGAAATCCAATTTATATCAAAGTAAGATGAAACCATTTTTTTGTTTAGTAAATTCTCACTATATAATACTAATCAAGAAAAAAAATCATTTTGTATATTGAATACAAAACTTAAGTACTAAGAAAATAAACCTTCTTCCCTCTGGAGTACCAGATAGGAACAGAGTGATAATATTGGTACTGAGGCACTGAAAAAAGCAAAATGCCATATCAGAGATTAACAGCATTCTCAAAAAACACACATAAAATCTTTTTGATATAACTATATTACATTATATACAAAGTGAGTAGCTCTTCCGGGTATTGCAAATGATACTTCTCAATTAGTAAAAAGTCAGCATACAAACAAACAAAAAAAATTCAATGACTCAGAATAAGTAAAAAAGCATTATGCTGTGTGATAAATTAGGGACAAAACAGCATTATATACTGAAATGAAGGGTATAAGTAACAGTATAAAGACGATGCCTTTGTTATCCTCCCCAAAATAATTTTGCTGGCATTGGAACAGTCAACACAAAGGAACGAAGGAGTTATCCCCAAGTCAGGGGTGAGCACTGTTTTGTACCAACTGCCTTGCTTCTCCTGCTCCTTTTGTGGCAGGATTAGATTCTTAAAAAGAGGTGATTCTTTGGTTGAACCAGGAACAATCTCGACTCAACATGCAATGGAAATGGATTTTTAAATAACTGGAATGAATTTAATACCTGGTAGTCAATGAAAATATTCAATCTAATCAGTGTTACATAAACGTACATTAAGGCATTGCATAGGAATACCACAAAAGTTGTACATCTCAGTACATTCACTTTTTTAAATGTCTGAAACCATACAAGTATCTTTAACATGTAAACTTCTATGCAAATAATACATACCACATCTCTTACTTTAGCAAAAGATAACCATAACAAGGTAAAATCCATTATGAAAAATAAACCAGGCACTTCCCTTAGATTCTTTTTCTTTTTCTACTGGAGTGAATCAAGAAATATTTGTTTCACATCTCCACTGACGGTGTGTTCCTAAAAAGACAACCAGCCCAGACCTAAGGTCATTTTGTGACTGGAGTCTCCTATCCTTCCCCTCACCGAAACACACAGGTTTCCGGTTCGGAGGCCTGGAAGTAATACATCTCCAAACCAAGGGAACAACAAACCAAGAAAAGGAAATCAACTAGAAATTCATTAAATCACCAAGTCTACTAACACTCAAGGGTCATAAGTAACCTGCCTCCTCAAAATGCTCGGTGTCCCGCCAGAGAAAAAACTGAGGTGAAGGGGTGGGAGGGGTGCTATTAGGGGGAAGAACCCAGAGGGCCCAGGTGCGGGGGTCCAGGGCACAGGGAAGCAGAGAAGTGACGCAGCCAGGGCGGTCACCTGTGGGGCCACTTGATCCAGCCCCGCCCCAGAGACCGCAGCCAGAATCTCAATCCGAAGCCCCCAAAAGTCCAGGGAAACGCAGAACTGGGCCCTGTCAATCCGGCCTGACACTCACCGTCCACGGTTTTCTTCTTGAAGAGAGACGCCATGGTCAGGGACCGCGCCCGGGCGGCCCGGCTCGGCCCGGTTCGGGCCGAAACTGGGAAAGAAGAGGAGGAAAAGGACAGGCCTTTAGGGGGTTCGAGGGGACAGAGAAGATGGGCAGGAGGAAGAGGGAAGTGTCTCCAGACAGGCACGGAGGGCGTGTATCCGGGAGGCCACCGCAGTCAGTCGCCGGGCGCTCAGGTGACCGGGAACTAAGACACTTTTTGGAGAAGTCACTTCTAGGTGGCGCCTGCGCGTTCTGCGCGCACGCATGCGCACTACGGCCCTGAAGCCGCTGCCGCTGCCCTCACTTCCCCGGCTGCCCGCTCCGTCCGCCTGCTTGGTCGCTGCAGTCAGAGATCCTGGCTTTCTGGGTTAGAAGAGCGTGGGATGCCATAGGCAGTGGCCGAGGCTTCGGTACTACAGTTCCGTGCTGACTGCAAACACATATAAGCTTTGCTTAGCGCTTTCCTCCTTGACCTGGGGGCCGCTGGAATTAAGGGTCCCCAGGTCCTCGGAAAAGTGAGTCGTCCCGCAACCGCCTGGACTCACTATGAGTTGATTTGTCACCGTCCCGTTGTTGCTGTAGGTATTAATGCTTTCTTAGGTGAAGAAGAAATGTGTGGTGACAATGCAGAGTTCGGTGCACCACGGTTGTCCGTGAAGTTCACGCCCTTTTTACCTCACTGCCTGGCCCCGGGACCTCCCCGCGTGGCCCTCGAGAACCCTGGGTCCTAGCGTTCATTCCCGGCCGCCGGGACCCGAGCTCCGACCGCCGGTGTGGGGCTCCGGGCCGTGGTGACTGGCGTTGGGAACAGCTCGGGGGAAAGGCATGGGGAGCAAGGTTCTAATCCAATACTTTTCTTGGCTGGAAGCATAAGTAAAGTTCATACATAATTTGTATGCACGCCAAAATGTCTCTAACGCTATTCCTGATTTCTTGTAATTGCTCAAGAATGTGACACAACTGTATATTGGTATTTGATACGGAAAAAATCGTATTAAAGGAAAAACAATGAATTAAAGAATTCTTGCATGTCAAAATATAAATATGGATAATACGATCATGTATATGTTTATTCATACATATCTCTTTTTCAATGTATTATTTCACTATTTAGAAGCTTAAATTTTCTCTGAACTTGTTTTCCTCCCAATGTACTGCTTAGCAACACTGCCTTCCACAGGATAAAAATAAAAGCCGTGCCTGGGGATGTAGTTTAGTGGTGAGTGCTTAGCATGCATAAGCCCTAGGTTTGATTTTTAGTGTCAAAATATAATAACAGTAACAGCATTTTGGAATAGATATGATTTTTGATATGGAAGACATGCTAATACTAATATTAGTATTATTTATACCTGTATTTATGAGTCATGTCTCAGGAATTTTTAAGTATTTGAGATCATCAGACTTTGACTTCCCCTTCTTTTTCCTTGGTAAGATACCGAGTAGCCACTGACAACCCTACTGCTGCTGCTGCTGCTACTAAAATTTAGATAAGAGCCTGCTCAAGAAAACTTTCTCAGAATGACAGTAGTATCGAAGGTGTAATTGTCTTACTTCTCCTCAAGTTATTCAAATATTGTGGGAAGGTAAAGTAAGGAAACAGAAGAAAATGTAACCAAGAAAACACGTAAGACAGTCAGTACATACAAGGCCTGGCCTCTCCTAGAGTAAGTACTGAGACAAAAAGGCAGGTTAGCCCTGGTGCCTTGTAATGAATGGTTTAGAGCTGTGCTTCAGTGCATGAGAGGCAATAAGCTGTTATGTGTGTATAGGAATCTTTCTCCCTGCTGCACTCACCCTTGTTTTATTATTCCTACATGATCCCCCCCACTGACCCAATTGTAACAGTTGGGAAAATGCCAAAATACTTAGCAGCAACCATATGGAAGACTCTCCAAAAGTGCACAGCAGGAGCTAAAGACAGGGCTTGTTCATTACAATAAAGATAAAATAGAAATATGTAGCACTTACTCTTCACTCAAATAGCTTGATTCCCCATATTTTGAAGCAGGCTGATTACCAGCTGATATGCACCAGTCTGGCTGGATTCCTTTCAGATTAGTTGATGGCCAAACTCTACCAGTACATATTTTGCATAACATCTCTTAATGCAAAGGGCATGTTGAATTTAAATATACCCGAGATTCAAGGCATCAAGAAGCTGTAAACTAGTATGCACTACTGTATTCAAAACCACCATTGTCACTCAAAAATTCACTGAACCAGCAAGATACATAAAGGATAGAAAAAATTTAATTTTGTTCTTCTAAAATCTTATTAAAAATATCAAACTAATATCCCATGATTGTGTCTTTGTGACCCTAAAGTCTTCCATGTTCCACAGTGAAAAATATGTATTACATAGCTAAGGACACATATGCTATATGTTGGGGAGATACTAGTGAAAAAACAAATACAGTCTCTTTCTGCTTTTACTTCTGTCTTAGTTACATTTCTCTCATTGCTGAGACAAAATACCTGACACTCAAAATTAAAGGAGGAAAGATTTATTTGGCTCAGTTTGTAAACATTTCAGTCCATAATCGACTGGCTCCAAGGCAGGGTGGCATGGCAGACAAACATCACAAGACAAACAGTGCAGGCAGGTAGAAGGTAGCTAAGCAACAAGGGACAGCCACAGCTCTTTCTATCCCTTATATCATATCCAAGTTACTTAAGGCAGGTAACACTCACACCCTTAATCCTAGTGCTCTTCATCCTAGCATTGCACCATGGATCAATTCCAGCCTCACATACTTTAGATCCAGCCACCTCTGAGAAAGGCCCACCCATGACCACATGAGGCTAGAGGGGCCATAACACCTTCCTACCAGTTTTTCTCTTTTCTCACTCACATGTCCATCATGACTCAGTAAAAGGAAGTAGTTCTTAAAACCAAAGGTATTCATTCCAATATGAGACATGGGCTGTCTGAAGCAGTGAGTGCAAGTCTGAAGTGTTCAAGGAGTAGGTTTTGTAGACAGGATTCCTTTGAACAATCATAACCTTGATTAGAATATCTAATGTTCCTTTAAAATCTGAAATTGTATTGTGAATAAAAGAGGCCTAATACCTTGATGCCTGATGCTTCACACCCTACAGATACCACTACCAAATCTTATTTGCTTTACTTTTGAATATATGGTGGAAAATCACATAGCATTTCACCACTTTGAATCATCCCAATTCATGTAGCTTTCATCTCTCTTTCATTTATTTACCACATCTCTTGTTTTCCTGCTTCCATTCTTACCTACCGCATTCTTATTTCAACATAGCAGAAATATCCTCTTAAATTGAGAATTGGATCTTGTTATTCTGCTTCTCAAAAAGAGGACAATATATTCTCAATTCATATGTCTGAAACCACACACACACCTACCCACCCACCCTTGTCCTAGTAATTAAATTTCAGTTATGCATTCATTAAATGTCCAAATTTTCAGCATTAGGTTACCATCTTGATTTTTCCCTTCATGATTTCCACCCAGGTTGAACACAATTGTTTAGATAGGATAATAGTATTCTGCAATGTATTACCACTCTTGTTCTGTACATTGTAATTTTGATAACACACTGTGTGGTTACTTTAGCAGTTTTGAAACAGTTAAGTACAGTTAAGTACAAGTTTTAGCATATTAGTAAACAAATTCATATTTAATCTTTTCTAATCCTATCCTTCATTAGTGGATAATTTTAATCCAAATATAGAACTTTTTGTTCATCATCTAGAAAGACATGCATCTTTGTGTTGATTTACTTACGAACACTTTGAGGCATTGTAGCTATCTATAAATTTATTTGTATTAAACAATAAAGATTTTTTTAAAACTTTCCTTTTTTAAGTCCGTTGTGAGGTTTTTTTGTAATATTTAGGGAGACAACAAAGTGTTCTATCGATGTATTGGTATAATATGTCTATGTTATATGCATATTCTATCAGTTATAGTGACCAGAAAATTAAAACATGAATTGACTTGCCAAATTCATTCTTGGGGAAATAAGATTCATTATAAATGTTCAAGATTTTCTTTTCAAGCATTAATATATTTTAATCCTCTAATGCTGCTTTCTGGAGTATTTTATAGCATAATTTCCTCTTTTTTGAAAACTGAAGTATTTCCCATTTTCCAGTCTTTTGGTGTCTTCACATATAATGTGAACAGATTCTGTTTTCTTCTGTGCTGGCTCTTGATGGTTGCATGTATATCAGGTTCAGCAACTGTGTAGCTGTTAGACCTGGAGTGAGTCACTGAAACTCTCCATGTTTGTTTCATCACGTCTGAGATAGGGTAACATTAGTACTGCCTTTATACAACCATTGCAAGGATTACATGAGCTAATATAAGAAACTCAAAATAGTGTCTAATATATAGTGTCTTAGTTCATTTGTGCTGCTGCAAAAAATACCGTAGAGTAAGTAATTTATAAAGAGTACAAATTTATGCCTCACAGTTGTACAGGTTGGGAAGTCAAACATCCAGGCCTTAGCATGTTATGGATTGTATCTAGATGTGCCCCAAAGTCTCATCTGGTCTTGGTGGGGTATTTTGGAGGTGGCCAGATTTAGGATGTGTGAATGTGAATTAAGGTTGTGATACTGGGATTAAGGGTGTGTGATAATTAAATGGGTTTACCATAGATATGGGTATGGATAAAGGAAGCCCTGTCCTGGGTGTGGGTGGCAGAAATCAATAGGTTTATAGCCTGGATGGAATATAAAAAGAGAGGAAAGGTAGGCTTGCTGTTAGTGCTTACTGGCATCTCCTTGGCCATGCCATGGACTGTTTCTCACCTGTGATGCCCCTCTGCCATGCCACCCTGCCTTGGAACCAGCTGACTGTAGACTGAAACATCTATAAACTGTGACCCAAACTAAACTTTTCCTCTTTTAACTTGTAGGTGTTGAGTATTTTGTCTCAGCAATGAGAAAAGAAACTCCAGTGGGATTTTTGTTGTCTGCTCTTATTCCAAAGACTGCTGTTTCCAAAATGTCCCCCATTGCTATATCACTCAGAAGAGAGTAATGCTCTATTCTCATGTGGCAGAAAGGACAGAAAACAAAATTGGAAGGCAGCTCTCTGGAACATTGTTTTATAAAGACACTAATCCCATTCATATGGATTCTGTCTTCATGGCTTAATCACCTCCTAAAGGCCTCACTTCTTAATATTATATTTGTAATCAAGTTTCAATATGTAAATTTCCAGCACTGAAAAGCTTAGCTGTCTGTAGTATTGTTCCCAGCTCTTAGCTCATGTATTTTCTCA